TATATGTATACAGTTATTGTACTTATTCACATAGTTTTTCTATGTTAGTACCTTTGTGGTGATATTTTATTTGTGATCTAACAAATAAAGCTTGCCTGGAGATCAGAGTGTGGAGCTAGACACTTATTAACCATAGAGGCCAGGCAGTGGTGGCACACACCTTTAATCCCAGCACATGGGAGGAGGAAGCAGGAAGATCAGGAGTTGAGGCCACCACAGGCTATACAAGATTTATCCAGTCTAAAAGAGAAACAGAGCAGGTGGTAGAGGCTCACGCCTGTAAGCCCAGCACTAGGGAAGTAGAGACAGTCATATAAGGCAGGGGGAGACAGGAGCTCGGCCCCTTTTCAGTAGGAGGATTCGGAGAGGTAAGAGGTGACTGTGGCTGCTTCTTTACTTCTCTGATTTTGCAGCTTTTACCCTGATATCTGACTCTGGGTTTTTATTATTAAGACCAATTAGAATTTGTGATACAAACCTTCTCTTTTTATTTTAGACAAAAAAGGGGGCGGGGAAATGTTGTGATATTTTGTTTGTGTTCTGACAAATAAAGCTTGCCTGAAGATCAGCGAGTGGAGCTAGTCACTAGTTAACCATAGAGGTCTGGAGGTCTGTACAGACAGGAGACAGGAAGTGGGCAGAGAGAGGAAGTGATAGGTGGGGCATAGACAGGATCTTGGCTCCTTTTCGGTTTGAGGGGTCGGGGAGATAAGAGGTGATTGTGGCTGCTCCTTTGCTTCTCTGATCTTTCAGTTTTTCCCCTGATATCTGACTCCAGGATTTTATTATTCACACTAATTAGGATCTCACTACACCCATCCCTGCAACTGTAATGTAAAGATACTCCCTGGGTGTTTGTGAGCAAGATAAAGTTGAGACACACCCAGAGCCCAGGCTTGAGGTTCCTGGGAACAGGTAAGAAAGGGGGCACACACAGTTTAAACTTAGGTCTTGGGCCTGCGAGATTACTGAGTGGGTGAAGGCACTTGTTGCCAAGTCTGATGATCCGAGTTCACTCCCCAGATCCACGTGGTAGAAGGAAGAATAGACTCCACACGTTGTCCTCCTATTGCACGAATCCTGATTGGTCTTAATAAAAACCCAGAGCCAGATATTGGGGTGAATGCTGAAAGATCAGAGAGACAAGGAAACAAGCCAAAGCCACTTCTCACCTCTCCAGCTCCTCAGCCAATACTTGTCTCCACGAATCCTCTGACTGGAAGCCTCTGAGTCATCAGCTGAAAAAACTCTAGTTCCTGTCCCCTCACACCTTACATGCCTTTCTCTGCCCAGCCATTTCACTTCCTTCCTCGTGCTGGGATTAATGGCATGTGTGCTTCTCAAATGCTGGCAGCAAAGGCATGAGATTTCAAGTGCTGGGGTTAAAGGTGTGTGCCACCACTGCCTGGCTCGGTTTCTCTCCTAGACTCAATCAATTTCATGTAGTCCAGGGTGGCTTTGAACTCACAGAGATCCAGACAGATCTCTGGCTCTGTCTCCTGAGTGCTAGGATTAAAGGTGTGTGCCACCACTGCCTGGCATCTATGTTTAATCTAGTGGCTGGCTCTGTCCTCTAATCCTCAGGCAAGCTTTATTTGATACACAATATATCACCACATTCTCTGGTCTCCACATGCAGAACATGGCACACGTGTGCCCACACACAAAATAAATAAGTAAACACACTTAGCTGGCTGCGCTGACGCAAACTTCTGACCCTTCTCTTCCTTTTAGGTTTGTGGCCGGCCCTGCCCCCACAAAGACTGTCCCCACAGCTCACATCACTTGTGTTATTGACCGTGCCACTGGAAAACAAGTCTCCCTGGCAGCACCCCCAGTGACACCCAAGTATCAAGACCCAGCCAGGGACATGTCACCCCGCCCATGAAGACGGTTGTTGTGGTCTGTGGGAAAAACCACGATGCATGGGACTCGGGACTTTTCGCTCAGTTGTAGACCTCTTGCCGGGGCCAAGGATACCTTGCCATCCTACAGAGGATTTGTGGCGCTGAGAGGAGACCCTTGAAGGCTGGAGCTACTGAAAAGCATTCAACTTGGGAGACAGTTGGGTGCTCTGTCCGGGCTCTCTCTTCCTGTATCCGTGGGCAGGTTGGGTAGCTTGGTAGGATCTGTTCGGGGAGAGCCTGAATGCAGGAGTCTTTGACGTCGGAAGCCAGGAAGGCATCCTGGATGCACTGAAGGACAGAAGAGCCAGACACGTCTCTGTCCTCCTCCCCACCCTCTGTCAGGCTCTCAGCAGAGGCCAGGCATGGTACCAACCAAGCATCTTCTACCTGTCCTTATAGGGTGCTGCTGCTGCTGACATCATGGTTTTCCTGAAGCTTGGGAAGGAAATTCAAAGTAATTGTTTTGAGGCCAGCCTAGCTGAAAGTTAACCCTTTCTCCAAAAAGGATGAAGGTCGGTTAGAGAGATAGATAGTTCAGTAGTTAAGAACATAGACTATTCTTGGAGAGGACCTGAGTTTGGACTTCAGCTCTCCCGGCTTCCCACGGGCACACATATATTAAATATATTAATACACATGCACATAAACAAAAATAAAATCTTTAAAAAGAAAGAAGGAAAGGATAAACAGTGGGAACACATGCCTTTAATCCCAGTACTCAGAAGGCAGAGGCAGGCAGATCTCTGAGTTTGAGGCCAGCCTGATCTACAGAATGAGTGCCAGTACTATACAGAGAAACCCTGTCTTGAAAACAAAACAAGACAAAAAAGAAAAGAAAAGGACTACAAAATCCTAGCCCTCCTGTCTATAGAACATGGGCAGGCAGGTAGGCAGCCTAGGGGCCAGACCTTAGCTCAGACCAGGAAGAGAGACGGTTTGAACTAGGCAGGGTGCAACAGTATAATATAAAAGACTCGTGTCCACTAGGAAAGTGGATTACACTCAGCCCTCTTCCTGCTACGCATACATCCCCAAGTTAGTGCAAAAGAGTTTGATTAGAGAGGTTGCCTCCGGGGAGGCCTGTGGCTGCACAGCTCCTGCCCACCAGCAGGTGGCACCCTATCACCGGCTGGACTGTGTTTTCCAAAAGTAAAGCTACATGCTACACACCCCACTTCAGTGCGGGGATAATAAGTGTTTATGTCAAGCATGGTGACTTTTCTGAATTTAGCTGCTTGGTGGAGGTTCGGGGCTTGGGCACTGTTCTTGCACTCGGTACAGGCAGCTGTCCCTGTAGCTACTGGCAAAAGGTTGTACGGATGGCCCATGCCACATCAGATCACGCCAGTCCAGTCTGTGCATAGACATGATTTTTACTGCCATTTTACAAATGAGGAAACTGAGGCCAGAGAGGTGAAACTCTCTGCCCATGGTCACTAATTATTAAGAAGGATGGAAGAACAGAAGGAGGAGGGAAGGGAGGGGAAGAAAAGAGCAGAGGAGGAGGAAGGAGAGAGAAGAGGCAGGGACAGAGGAAGGGCAGCATGAAGGAGCAGAAAGGGAGGGGGAAAGGGGAAAGCAAGTCAGTTTGTAGCCCTCCTCTCTCCCTTCTGGCTCCGGGGGGAGGCCTGGGAGTGTGCTGGGGTTCTTCACAGAGGCATCCCAGGAGAACCTAACCCTTTCCTAGCTCCCGAACTCCCACAAAGACTTTCTAATTCCCACCTGTGCCTGCGGCAGCCAGGTTGCTCAGGAGCCTTCTCCTTGGACTGTGCCCACCATCCTCAGGGACAGAGGCCTTGTCCTTGGGCTTCAGTCCAGCAAACACAGCCCACTGAGCTCCTAAGACATCTTTGGTCTCAGGATAGATTCTGGGCGCAGGGAGAATTTTCTGTCCTGCCAGCCAGCTCCCAAATAACCACACAGCGACTTATTAATCATGAAATATTAATAACTCACCAATAGCTTAGGCCTGTTTCTAACTACCTCTTACAACTTAAACCATTTCTGTTAACTTATGCACTGCCGCATGGCTCATGGCTTATTACCTCATCTCTTATGTGACCGGCTTCCTCTGAGTCTGACTGGCAACTCCACCTTCTCCTTTTCTTCCTCCTCCTCCTCCTCCTTCTTCCCAACTGCCTCTCTGCCCCCAAATCCTACTATTGGCTGTTCAGCATTTTATTACACCAATCTGAGTGACACATCTTCACAGTGTACAAAAAGATTATTCCACAACACCTGGGTAAGGGGGACCAGATTCTTATTCAGAAGGGCAACCCAGAAATTCTCACCGAGCCTGGCACAGCAGCAGTTAAGGCCCATTAAGTGAAAAACGAATTCCTTCTGGTTGAGGTGGATGAAATCTCTGGCTTGGATGGAGACCTAATATTCCAAGCTACCCAAAACATAAAGAAATTAATAAAGCCGGGCGGTGGTGGCGCACGCCTTTAATCCCAGCACTCGGGAGGCAGAGGCAGGCGGATCTCTGTGAGTTCGAGGCCAGCCTGGTCTACCAAGTGAGTTCCAGGAAAGGCGCAAAGCTACACAGAGAAACCCTGTCTCGAAAAAACCAAAAAAAAAAAAAAAAAAAAAAAGAAATTAATAAAATTGGGCCAGTCAACCACTTACCCCTGCTGTCTTAGTTAGGGATTCTGTCACTGTGAAAAGACACCATGACCCAAAGCAGGGAAGTGTTTGTTTCCCCTTACAGCTCTCAGGTCATGCTCCACCACTGAGGACAGTCAGGGCAGGAACTCAAGGTAGGAACTGAAGCAGAGGCCATGAAGGGGTGCTGCTTACTGGCTTGCTCCAAGAGGGGAGAAGACACAGTCACAGCCTGAACAAAGCAAATCAATCTCCATCAGTGTAAACGACTCAATGTTCAGTGTCTGGGGTCTACTCAACGGTCTTCCGGGCTCCAAAGGGCTCTTATCTGGCTCTGCCCCCCACAGTACACAGAGTCTGTCTCCTCGGCTCTGGTGGCTCCACTCCACTGCTGCTGCTGTCCCCGGTGTCATCCCATGGTATTGGCATCTCCAGAATGCTGGGCGTCTCTGCTGGAGTTTGGTGGTTCCTTCACCAATAGCTTCTCCTGGGCCCTCTTTGGGAACTCCAACTCTGCCATATGGTGCCAAGTCTCAACTTCTCCCCTTCTCTCCACGATCCCTTCCATCCTGGGCCTTCTACTGCAACCGAGGCTGCACTTTCTTTGGTGGCCTTTCTGGCCCTCTCTCCAGGAACTCCAGCTCTGTGACACAGTGCCAAGCCTCAGCTGCTCTCCAGGACCCCGCCATGCCTTCAAAACCAGTACCACGTGGGATATTCTTACACATCATGGTGTGGCTGCCAGCAACAGGGAGAGCCTTGGTCCCTCTGGACCACAGCTGTGTGTGTGCTGCAGGCCACAGGAATATCATAAGAACTCATCTGGTTATGGCAAAGTCACTACCTAGAGGGATCAGGGAATTCCTCCAGAGGAAGCCAAATCCCAAGGAGTTTTTGGTGTTACTTGGCTTGTTATATATCAGCTGTCTTCTGTTATGAAAATCATGTGTGCCTTCATAGTTTTCCCATTGATTTTTCCCTAATAAGGGCTAACAGTGTGGATTGATCACTCTCTGGACATACACATTCCAGGTATTTGGAGAACAGCCTCAGGAAAGGCTTTCTCTGGAATCAGATATCTCCCTTAGCCACTTTCAAGGACTACAGGAAACACTGCCCAACTTCCGGAAGACTAACAGTGATAACAGCCCACATACAAGTCTCCTGACTTAAGGTAAATTCCTTAAGTCCCACAAGGGGACACCACCTAGGTCAGGTAGACATTAAGTACTAGCTTTATACAATTTATCTCAGACCCTTCCTTCTTACAGCCTTACTAACTTTAGACCTCTAACTCCTTACCTAACCACTTCTAGGAATATTTAGATAACTTTCTGTGCTGACAGCTATGCTCAGCCAGAACCCCAGTTCAAGCCTCCCTGTAATTATCATCATTGGCAGCATCCAGCCAGGTCCATCCTCAGATGGAGGAAAGTACCTTATCAGAGATACCTCTGTACTCTCTAAGAACAGACTTAAGCATCCAGAGTACCTGTTTGAGAAGGCCTGGCGGATGTGCCAATTAAGCTTAACTTCCTCCTTTCCCAAATCTTGCCTCCAGTTCCAGATCTCCCTTTAACTATCACCAGAGGCATCTAGCTGAACACAGGTTGCCTAGCGACTGAGCACACTTTCCTCCACCCTGCAGAAAAAAAACGGCAGACAGCTTGGACAGATAGGAGCCACAGGAATAAAGAAGACAGTTTTATTTTCTCCCATTGACCTAGCAACTTATAGATTTTTAACTTCTTTTACCAAACACATTTAAGATTGTAGTTGTGCATATAAGATCCCTCCTCTTAGATATTACCCAAATTTAGCCTTTAGTTAATTCATTAGTCACTTCCCCTTTGGGTCGCAAATGGTAATTAACAACTATTGCCCCTCTTTGGGATTCTTATCATCCCTCCATTTGACCCTGATAGCTGACAATCACTGCCTGAGGAAATTCAAGCTGGGTGTCCTGGGTGGAGGGGAGGATTGTGGTTTTTGGGGGATATATAACTGTGAAGCAAGAGACGAGGAGGAGAATTAAAGCGAATGGATTAAGAGCTTAGTGTGCTGAGATTCATTTTTCCCGACTGTTCTCTCTCCTGAGCCCCTGGGATGTATAATATTGAGGCTGGTTCCTCTAATATTATACAAGATGTGTGCTGACTCCAGAAGATGTCACCTCAACAAAGTTGTTCTCTTCTAAATCACAGCTGACTCTTCAGCTCCAGCTGGCCAGTATTCATTGTCCCAGCAAAGCAAAAGTTTCACTGAATAGTTTGTTTTGTTTTGAGGCAGAGTCTCACCATGTAGACCTGGCTATCCTGGAACTCACTATGTAGACCAGGCTATCCTGGAACTCACAGAGACCCACCTGCCTCTGCCCCTCAAGTGCTGGAATTTAAGGTGTGCGCCACCACACCCAGCATTTTAGTGGTTCTTAATTCAAAATATTCAACAGCCCTGATAGAGTCTTTGAGGGACTCTTAAAACTGCCCTCTCGAAGCCCCACAAGCCAGGCCTCCATCGTGTGCATCACCCTCAACATCTTGGAAGCTCTCACAGAACAGTCCACAGAGTGCTGAGCACTCAGTGGCTCTTCCAGGCCAAACTTCA